TGGGGGATGCTGCAGCCCAGGCGTGGGGATTTGGGGTGTTCCCCTGGCAGCCCAGGCGTGGGTGTTTCCTGGGTGGGAGCAGCTCCGGCAGGGTCAGCCCCAGCCCTGCTCCTCTCCAGGTGTTCGGGCTGCCCGCGGCACTGTTTACTCCTGGTGTTTAGCCAGGATATTTAATTTCCAGGAGTGTGAGGCAGCTGGGGAGCAGCAGGGTACGTGTGTGTACGTGTGTGTGTGTGTGCCCACCTCCCTGTGCCACCCTGGTGGGATCAGTCTGATGGTAGCGGGCACGACCCTGCAGCAGATTCTGTGCTCTGGCTGACAGGTCAGGGGGACCCCCCAAACCACCCCTGTGTGTGGGGGACCCCTCCTCCAGCACGTCCCCCCCCAGCAGCCACGTCGTCGCCAGCCGCTGTTGACTCACAGGCTCCGCCGTCGAGTCCCGGGGCTGAGGCCGAGATGCTTTTACAGGCAGGGCTGAAATGCACAAAATGTTCGACTTGTAAAATATGTAGCGTGAGAAAATAGCCTTTTCTGCTCTCCTCCTCCTCCTGCCGCCGCTCCCTGCCCCATCTGCTCGCTTGGAAAGCTGCCCGCAGCCGGGGGGGGGCCGGCGGCGCCCGGGGTCCCTGCCAGGGATGGCACCCACCCCGTGCCACGCCGTGCCACCCCTGGGTGCCAGGAGGGCACAAGGATGCGCTCGCTCCATGGGGACGCTGCCGCCTCGCTCCTGTCGCCATCCCAAAGTTCCGTGGGCACGTTTGGGGAAGGAGCTCAGGGCTGGCACCGGGAGTGCCAGCGGGGCTGGCCCACCCCGATTTTGGGGCATCCCGCGGGGTTTTGGGTTTCCAAAACCTCTCCGGAGGGTGCCGGGAAATCCCCGTGCGAGGAGCCCCGGGAGGAGCCGCCACGCCGGAGCTGGCCGGGAGCCACAGCTTTCACCTTAATCCATCATTATCTGGGCACATTTCGGATCCTTGCCAAGAGCAAGGTGGGAAGGGGGGGTGTGAGCATGCTTTCCCTATTCCCCTGCCATCCTTTTTGCTGCCTGTGTGTAATTAACAGAGTAATTAAAAACAGGATGAGTTAATTGGTATTCATTTATGTGGCAGATGTTTTTAATTGAGATACGAAACAATTTACCTGTTTACATAAACAATAGCAAATGAAGGCTTGTAAAACAGAGAGGGCACCTTTTTTTTCTTTTTTTTTTTTTGGCTTTTTTGTTGTTGTTTCGAGGAAAAAATCAAACCCATCCCCATCCCCCACCATTGGCCATGCCAGCTTGGGGCTGTTGGCACTGCCTTGGTGGAGCCGAGCCAGCTGCTTTGGGTCTCTGGCTGGGTGGGTTGGGGTTAAAAACTGGGATTTTGGGGTGCATTGAGAGCCTGGCTGTGGGTGCTGCTGTCCCGTGTGGAGCTGTGCTGTCACTGCCACACCGCAGGGCCTGGGACCTGCTGGGGGATGGTGGCCTGGAGTTGGTGCCCATGGGGCATCTGCCAGCAGGGCTGGCACCGCAGGATGTGGGGGCTCAGGAAGCAAAGGCAATTGGGGTGTCCCTGAGCTGGGGAAATGTGCTTTACCCTGGGAAATTGGGGTGTCCCTGAGCTGGAGAAATGTGCTTTACCTGGGAAATTGGGGTGTACCTGAGCTGGGGAAGTGTGCTTTACCCTGGGAAATTGGGGTGTCCCTGAGCTGGAGAAATGTGCTTTACCCTGGGGAATTGGGGTGTACCTGAGCTGGGGAAATGTGCTTTACCCTGAGAAACTGGGGTCTACCTGAGCTGGGGAAATGTGCTTTACCCTGGGAAATTGGGGTGTACCTGGGGAAATGTGCTTTACCCTGGGAAATTGGGGTGTCCCTGAGCTGGAGAAATGTGCTTTGCCTGGGACATTGGGGCTATTGGGAGGGGTCCCAGCTGGGCCAGGGGCACAGGAGCTGTCTCA